GAATCCTCTTTATTTTGGCATATATATCTATAACTATGTAAATTCTATTCTACAGTTATGAGACGCAGCTAAACATATTTTGCATGTCACTGATATAGTGTTCATTGTTTGTAATGCATATAATGTACATAAAACAATATGTCTTCGAAGTATATACAACATACAGTGTTATAAGAGATAGACACACATTTAGAATGACTTATGAATCATTATACATAATTCTGTATGACATTAATTAAAATGATTGAGATATTATAGGTATTATGTAAAGCCCCTCATGAATTTGTCATTAAGTCAATAGCCTATATCTTTTGTATATATATTTCTCGAGAAAGTACATTCAAAATATTATTAAACTTTAGATGTGACTCGATATATATATATATATATATATATACGTATGTATATATAGATATATATAAATGTATACATATAGATATGAAAATAATTGTATGCATCAACAAAAAGAAAGGAAAATATTTGTAACAAAAATTAAGTTTGGCCTTCATTTTTTAAATCTCCAAACTGAAAACTAAAATTGCTATTGAATAAAAAATTTTGAATGATATACTCTCTTTTCCATAATGCAATAAAAAAATTTATTTTTTAATTTTTATTGAATTCAATCTGATTTTATATTTATTTTAGAACAAAAAAATCAATACATATAGAAATGATCACCAATATAAGGAACTCACCCAAAATAGCAGCACCATTGTTCTCCTCACTTGATTCTGTTAAATGTTCCACTTGGTGAATCACATTCGAATCTTCTGTACTTGAAATTGTACTAGCTGGTGTGCTACCTTCACGTTGTTGATCGGTTTCACTATCTGAATGTCGACGTTCGCCGTTTTGCACTACTCCATTTACTTTAAGTTCCTGAGACGTTTGTTGTTGCTGTTGCACAAATTTCGATCCTTTATTATTTTGTTGTGGCTGCTGTTGAAGATGCATAGGGGGTGGTTGATGCTGTTGTTGCGACGATGGTTGTGGTTGTTGCTGCTGTTGCTGCTCCGATTTACACTTACTACCCAATTTTTGTATTACATCACTATTTGTTTCAGATGAAAAGTTTCTAATATCCTTCTGTCCATTAATTTGTGGCGGTACATTATTTTGCACACTGATAGAGCTTGATTCGGATCGTGAAGTTGTCCTTGTACAATGTTTTTCTTTATTTTGACAATTTTTATGTTTGTTACGCGCTGCCTGTGCCTTACTTTCACTATTACTTTTCCCTCTCCGCAAATTCATACTTTCGCCTTTGTTATTATTGTTTTGTTGATGCGTGGATCCACCAGATAATACATGACTCTGCTGATTTGTTGTACTACTTCCATTCGTTATGTTGTTCGGTTGTGATGCTACTTGTGACGGTGGTGATAATTCTTTACAATTTGTTTGTGTACCTATAAATATACATATGGAATATATGAGTAACAATAATTCCTTTAAAATTTTATTTTCACGAAAGGTAAGCTTACTATTTATTTGTCCAGTCTGTAACGATGGCCAAGCTTCTTTTGCTTGAGGATTTGAAGTACCATTTTCTCGAACGATGTTACCAGTTACGGATGGCGATGGTATTGGTTTCCTATATAGTGTAAAAGGAATATTCGATTCTCATTAGTTACACGTTAAATTTTACGTTAAATTTAATTTATAATGCTTTATGTACAAAGAGTCTTACCGTTGAGCAGATGCATGTGATGCGTTCAACGATTGCACAAGCTTTCGCTCATACTCCTGATGTTTGCCTTGATGCATCTCCTCTTTTGTGAATGATGCTTCCTGGTCCCCAAGATCATGTAAATACATACAATCCTGTTTCGGACAAGGCTGATTACGCATAAAATGTGAACAATACTTTGTTGTTCCTAATGACGTTTTTATTGTTCGTCCGTCCATAATAACATTATTCACAGCCTCTATAGCACGTAGTGCGTCTTCTTGACGCTATTAATACAATATATTTTGAAAACATGCAATATATGTAACTATGATAACTACAAGTATTATTAGTAGAATACAACTAATAACTTACTTGATAAGTAACGTAAGCTGAAGCACTAGGGCTCTGAGACCCTGCGTAGGAAGTGCTTTGATTTATTACCACTTTGTGAATTTTTCCAAATTTTCCGAAATATTCGTGTCGCTTTAATACCTGGAAGATAAAATTCATTTAATCAATGTAAATTCTTTTTGATACAAACTTTATTTGTGATATTATAATAATTGCAAAAATACATTGCTTCATTTTACGTTCACTTACATCAGCATCAGCAAGTCGCAATGGTAATCCTACTACAAATACTAGATTTTTTTGTACTACTCTCACATTAGCTAGATGTTTACGGTTTTCTGTTACTCTCTGCTTTCGTTGCTGATCTTTCAATCTTTTGGCTGCTTTTAATCTGATAAACAAAAATAGTACGAATTATTTTGGTGTTCATTATTCTGTGATTAACAATTCCAAATACCAATTGTTAATAGAAACTACCTTGCTATTTCTTCCATACTGAGTGGTTTAAAATCGGCAGGATTTTCAGAATAGGCCTTCCGGCAAGCTGGACATAATCCATTTTCATCAGTTCGAATTCTATGCCAGCAAAACCGACATATCTGATAACCACAGGTGCATGGAAAAAAATTCAAATCATCCACTTCCAATGGTTCCATACACAATGGACACTCCACAGCATCTTCTCCACTTTGATTCAATACTGACATTTTTGTTTCTATCGTTTGTATCACACAATATGGTAAGTTACCAGGATTTCCCTATTTGTATGTCCTGCACACAAACAAACAAATTTTGTACATAATGTCTAAGGAATTTGGAAATAATATATATAACAGCATACAAAAGCATATAACCATCTGTTGCTAAAATATTTAGATATGGTTACTATTTCACTGAATATAGGTAAATACATAGGAGCAATGGAAATAACATGAAACATATGTTTTAACACATAAGCAAAATTTGTAAGTTCATCACTAATACAAATGCTCGATAAGTATAATATACTTACGTGCACAGTTTGTACAATGCCTTGATACTATGTAATTGACTGTACTTGTAACTTCTTACACACTAGTATCCTTGCACAACCTAAAATAAATTAATAAAACATTACAATGTTATAGATCAGGAATGTTATGACTCAGACACATCTACCAGTGCTAACGGTTGTATTCGGGCAAAATTCCACGTAAATCCGTGAGAGAGTTCGTAATCTAGCCGTCGGACTTGTTAAACGTTTCACCATTCGACCACAAACTGATTCACGTTATTTGTGTGTAACCGTGAGTATTATCCAAGTTATTTTTGAATTAGCGCGTACAAAAAAAATGTGCAAAATTAATGGTCCAACCCTTCTCGCAGAATACAGAGAATACGAAACGGTGAACCGTTTGCAGATAGATTAGATGAACAGTTGGAAAGGAAGGTCCGTTTGACAGGAGCTGTCAAACGAGGCAGTAAACGAACAAAGGACGCTCCAGATTTCAGCCGATTAGAACGATAGCGTACGCTCTACGATGGACGTACAAATGACAAGTTTATACGCTCAAGCTTGGGATCCGACGACGAAAAACTTGCGGTAGGGCCACCGTCTGTACTCTCCCACTCACTTTCTCGCTCTCTCTTTCTCTTACTCACTCCTGCGACGAGACACGAACTATACGAGAGGGCGACGATCGGACGAAACAGCTGTTGGTGGCGTCGAGAGAAGCGAAGAAACGTCAGAGAGCGAGTGAGAGGTACTACGCCATAGCACGAACCTACGTGAAAATCCGCGAAAAGTTGCCGTGGTGGGGCATGACACGTAAATTCCCCGGAGCTTCGAATGCAACTATCCGCATACGCAAGGACGATGGTCTCGTCGTTTCGTGATACGATTTTGAAGGGGGGAAAATGCTAGCAGCGAGCGAGAGAATGAGAAATGGAAGTAATGAAAGGAGTGGCGGAGGGTGAGAGGGGGAAGGAAAAAGAGGGAAGGAGAAAGAGCAAGATGGTGGGTGGCAAGATGGGGGAAGGGTAGAGATGAGTACGAGCGAGAGTGAGAAAAGAGGGACGGGAAGAGGAGAGAGAGAGAGACAAACGCAGAAAAAGGAAAACAGAACAACGATGCCATCATTAGTTTTATCCCTTTTTAGTCAATGGTCGTTGTCTTGATCTTGCGCATGAAGCGTAAGAGAAAAGGAGGCTCTCACCAATCTCGCGTATCTTCTACGTACTTGTTTGAGATGAACGATAATGCTGTTTCAAGCGCAAACAACTATGATCCCCAACAAATTCACAAGTTCCCTTAAGCATACAGTTTATGGAAAAGTAAACCACGGTAGCCCGAGCAACATGGTATAGTTCACCACGAACGTCACAAAGGATTGAATGATTTGTCGCCAGAGGGGTTGCTAAATACCCTGGACTGGTTACAGGGTATACCTGGCTGAGTTTAACCTTAACTTTGTTCAATAGAAGAAACTTTTCGACAGCTACCGTGCTTCGTCAATCGCGTGCCACCACTCTCAACAATTCTAACATTAAATACGTGTGTTCGTCGACTCAAATTCCTCAGACCTTGTTTACTTACGTTACAACTTTTTCACTAACAAATCTCTTTTCTGTACTGGGAAATTTTTGTAGTCTTCAAGATCTGGTCGCATGCGCACCACGACTGCGCAGAAGCGGACGTTACATACACTGGTATTTAAAGAGAGGTGTACTCGCGAAGAATTCTGAAAGCGCATGTCAAACGGAGCTTCGATTTTGTTACTGCACATGTTAAAATGTTTCTATTCTACCTTTTTCGGTCATTTTCATTTATTTAAGCTCGTATACTACGTTGCATAGACGTTAATGGAATTCTTTGTTACTATAGGATAGGTTATACAACGAATTTCTTTGGTCAAGGTTTCTTCTATTTTACATTTGCCGCGTATCTGGAAATAATCGGTAACCGATTTGGCAGTACTGCCAATAGCTGAGAGTAAATATTTCCAACATCGACGAAAATATAGGACAATTCATTGGACGAAATTTATGGCTTAAAAATTTCAATTAAATTAAAATGAAATGTATAAGACTGTGATATTAAAATCCTTTTCTAGTCGAGAATACGAAATTTTCCATGAAAGTTGACGTACTATTAACTGCGTTGTATTCTAGAAAATTTATGGAGTTTACCCTTATTTTGTACTTTATAAATTAAAGACGAATTACACTTCATCTGGGTTAGTTATAAACTACACAATTTTACGCAAACTCATATTTTTATAGGAAAAAAGAATTACATTTTGCACAAACAATAAACTTTGTATGCCAGATTCTTTAAAAAGTTATAAAGTGCACAAGATTTTGTAATCTATGTATATTAAATATATTGATTGATCATATTAATATAACTTTTTTTTGCAAAAAAGTTGAACACTTAATCTTTTATAACTTATACCAAATTACACTAAATAACAATTATTAACAATATATCATGTTTTAGCAATGTTTGTTCTCTAGGGTTATAATGGATTGTTTCTGAAAAATTACTTTATTGCATTCTTTCTACTTTTACCTTCATAACTTACACCAAATAAAGGGTGACGAACTTTCAGATTTTCAGGAAATGGTACACTAGTGTTTTCTATTTGCATTGGCTTGGTTTTTGAGATACCTGAAAGTTTCCGTCTAATGCTGATTGTGCCCATAGGTTTCACATTAACTACACAGAAGAAACATACTATTAGTACCAAATTTTTCAGTTTAATATTATTTAAATGAAAGGAGAGGGGTACCTGTTTTATATTGTGATTTTACTTTCCCAGTGTTGAATACACAAGTGATATTGGATCTAGTACCATGATTCACTGCATAATATCGTTCTTCCTTAATTTTAAGTTTTGACTTTTCTCCAAACATTAATGTTTGACCTTTAAGTTCTTTTGGATCAATCTACAATGTAACAAAATTTAATGTAGTTTTGTTTGTATGATTGAATCTTGATAATATAGTATCTTAAGAGACCAGCTAAAATTGCTTCTCTAATTAATAAATTGAACTCACTGTTCCAGGAATATCCATTATCCATATGTCTTCACTGTCAGATATGTTATCTAAATTAAATGTAGAATCTGTGGCTTCCACAATTAAGCTTTCTTTTTTAACTAAATCTTTAATCTAAAATAAGATCAATAAGTTAATTGCATAGAAAATTAGTGATAGAGGTTTACAATGTGAATTATATTTACATTATGAGGTCTAGAAGCAGTTGGTTTGTTCATTGATATTGTATCATTGTTTGTATTATTTAGCATCTCCCTCTCATTTTGTGTGTTCCATGTTTCTGTTTCATGTCTCCTTTTATCATCTCTTGTACCAATCTTCTTTAAAATACTCTTCCTACGTTTAGGAGGAGCATTAGCAGGACTGGCTGGTTGAATTTTTGTATTGATCGTTATGGATCTGTTACTTTTCGGTGTAGATGGCTCATTATCTATTGTAGTATCCATCAAAACCATTGATCTATTCAATTGAGTATTTAATTTTGTTAGGGAATCTTCTGCATCCAAATCATTCATAATGTCCAGAAATTACGTTTATAATTCTCCGAAATAAAATTATATTTTATTTTTAAGTTCATCAAACAACGTTCATTATGATATTAGATATCACATTTATATTATAAAATCTTAATCATAAACTAATATTCAATACACTATATATTTACATGCACAGGACAGTATAAAATTAAATATGTAGATTTATGAATATATGTCAGTAAAAACACAATTTTTTGTCACATGTGTATAGGTTTGTACATCTTCTGGTAAAAATGCAGAACACTGTACATAAATAATAACACGTTGCACGGTAAACGAAAATTACTACATTAACCAAACAACTTACAACTTACAACTACTATGTACATTATACGTTAGTTACAACTATAACTATTCCGTGCTTGAAATTTTAATCTTTCTATACATATTCAAGTGTGCATATATATATGTATGTACATATGCAATTAAATATTTGTTAGTAAGATCACTGTAAACAAAATAAAGATCGATTTACAAATGTGTATTCTATTGGTTCGTAAGTTATGGGTGTACATAATTTTAAATATGCTACTTGGAACGTTCAAAATGTAGCATATTACAAACATTTAGTACTTCAAAATGTATAAATCATGAATTCAAATCTACATAACTATTAAATTTGTATTATATATATACATATTACGTACATATATACATACATAGTAACATATGTACATACAGTAATGGGACCTATCCCTGCACGCTTTTCTTGCTCCCTAAGCAGCCACGCACATCCCCACTATTTTACTGCACATCCAATCCACAGTGGATCTTGTCTCAGCAGTGAATCGTCAGCCAAGTAGAGCAAAGAAAATTTCTATATTGACTCTCGCTAACAGATCAAGTTGCAGCCTGGAAGGGTGCAGGAGTAAGACCCATTACTGTACTTTCGAAACGAAAACTCTTTCCTAGATACCAATATGTACCGATATTCTATGGTCAGTTTGTTTAGTCTTGTATTCAGAAAGGCACTCGGCATTTTCAACAAATTAAACATACATATATGTATACATAGAAACTGTTATCGATGAGTATTTATACAAGGGAACATTAGTTCGTAATTTAAATTACCTTAAATATTGTTATAATATGTAATCTGAAAATATTAAATTATTAATGAAACTTTCAATTATTTTGTGTAGCTTACATTTATCAACACA